TTAAATTTACAGTTATATGTGAAATATATTCAATCAGAAAGAAAAAAGTTTAAAAATAAAAGCAAAGCCTCCTTTCAACCCAGAAAACCTCTCCACACGGCTACAAGACAAAAAAAAAAACAGTTTTATTACTGAATGAGCATTAAACCAGAATGTGACGTGCACCACAGGCAATCCGCCACGAAACCGCAAAGACAGAAGGACAGCTCACCCCTTATCTACCCAGGCAGATACAGCCCCTCACACACGTGTTCTCAAGATACACAATACGAGTCCTCATGTAGGAGGACTTGATGGCACCATTGGTCACACTGAGTTCATTCTAAATGCATCTGGTAACTGGGGCCACCATCTGTGTTAGTTAACTGGCTTTATCCAAACGAAGAATAACCTTCTCATCCCTTTACGACTGGAGGTCGTTTTGCCCCAGGAGTGAGGTGTCCACCTCAGTTAGGCTCCTGCCCTTCCCAGAAGCTGGGAGACAGGGTGCTGTCTTCCCTGCTGATTGCATTTCAAAGAGATGGCTTTCCTGTGCTTGAGAAAGACATCCCTGGGTTGTAAGGCTGGCAAGGGGCTTATTTACATTTTTAAAAGATTTCCATACATTTCAAAGGGACAGAGAAAGAATTTATAATTATACATTTTCTGAAGAAAATGCTCTGCAAGAAAGTGTGCTCTCTTTCTCTTTTTGCTCCACGGAAAATCAATTTTTCTTGCTTTCTCAGTTTGCATTGACCCTTACAGGGGTTATTGCAGGAGAACAGTGGTGCATTGCGTCAAATGCTGTAAAACTAGCCTGAGGGACGCCTGGCAGGTTTAGCAATAAAAGTCTGCAAATACAAAAAGAAATCTCAATTCCAGTGCTTTTTTCTTCTGGAGCAGCCGACAGTTGGTATTTTTGCAATGGATCAGTCGCTTGCAATGGATTTTAGACTCTTGTAACCTGGTTTCGCCAATACAATTGGGCAAAAACCTTCCTTGCTGTAAGAGGAACTCAGACTTGACTAATCCTCATGCTGGCTCTGAAGAAGCAAATCCTGTGCTGATAAATGCGGATACATTTTAATACCAAACAGGGGCGACCAGAAAAGACAGGTCATGGGGGAAAGAGCCATAAATCAGAAAAAGGACGAACCATGGAAACCACAAAAAATTATACTAGAAATTAACCCTAGCCTCCTCCCACCAAAATCTTCCCGTTTGAAATATTAAAATATTCTTCTAAGTAACTCCTAGGTGATTATACTTAGATATTAATGACAATAAGAAAGTCTATGTTTCCAACCCAGCACTTTTTTTTATGGAACATCTTATAAGCTCCGATAAGAGAACCACAGTGAAGAGCTCCAGGTTTTGGAGAAAATTTGTGCTTCTTTCTGCGGGTAGCACTCCAACATTTGGAAAGCACTCTGGGCTTGTCACTGGGCCCCAGTGGAATCTGATGCCTGGTACACTGGACTGAGTGTCTGTGTTCCTCCAGAATTCATATGTTGACACCCTAACCCCAGTGTGAAGGTTTTTGGAGCTGGGAACTTTGGGAGGTAATTAGGTCCTGAGGGTGGAGCCCTGAGAATAGGGTTGGTGCCCAGTCTTAGTCAGAGTTCTCCAGAGAAACAGAACCAACAGGATATGTAGAGGGGTGTGGAAAGATTTATTATGAGGAATTGGTTCATGCAATTATGGAGGCTAAGAGGTGCCAGGATCTGCTGTCAGGGAAGCTGGTGGTGGAGTGCCAGTCCAAAGCTCAGGCCTGAAACCAGGGGAGCCAATCGTGAGACTCTCAGTCCGTGTTTGAAGGCCGGAGAACAAGAGGGTCGGTGTCCAAGGGCAGGAGAAGATGGAAGTCCCAGCCCAAGCAGAGAGCAAATTCCTCCTTCCTCCACCTTTTTGCTCTGTTCAGGCCCTCTATGGATTGGAAGCAGCCCATTCCCATTGGTGAGGGCCGTCTTTACTCAGTCCACCGGTTCAAATGCTGTTCTCTTCTGGAAACACCCTCCCGGAAATACAAAGAATACACAGAAATAGTACTTTACCAGCTATCTGGGCATCCCTTAGCATCCCCAGTTAAGTTGAACATAAAATTAAACATCACAGCATCCTTATGGGAAGAAGCCAGAGCTGGTTGACTCTCTTTTAGCCATGTGAAGCTATAGTGAGAAGTCTGCTGTCTGCAGCCCAGAGGAGGGCCCTCACTGGAAGCTAGCATGCAGGTGCCCCATCTCAGACTTCCAGCCTCCAAAACTGTTAGAAATAAATTTCTCTTGTTGATAAATCATGGTATTTTGTTATAGAAGCCTAAACTGACAAAGACACCTGGCCGTGAACACCAAGGGCATTGTGACCTGAGCTGTACATGATGCACTGGGTGCTGTCTCAGCTGCCAAACCACGATGGTGGGCATGCACAGTAGCATCCATCATCCATGGAAAAGGTGTGTGTGGGATGAGGCTCAAGCAGGAATGGAGGGCACAGGTGAAAGCCCCAGCAGGTGGCTCAGACGCCCATGGCAACTGCTCCTCCTGCTGCTTCCTCCACCTAAACTATGGGCTCATGGGAATCCTTTGTGATCTGTTTACAGAGGAGAGAAAGCACAGACCAAGTTTAGGGATGGAGCTGTATGGTAGGCTGGCACCAGACAGAAGAGGATGGCTGCTGGCTTAGCACTCTGTTCATGAAAGAGTGATATAGGGACATTCTTCAAGTGGCAAAACCTCAGGGGTCCACCTTGGGGGAGGCAGGATGTCCTTAGGCCCACTTCTGCATGGATCCATGGTGAGCCACCTGGTCAAGAACTTGGAAACAATAAAAGCATAAAATTAAGACAGGGAGGATATGTGGATGGTCCTCTGGGGATGGGCACAGAGAGTGAAGATGTTCGCGTCCCACATGAATGCCCGCCAGATGCATGCAGAGAGGAGGAGGAACTCGCTATGTAGTGGACAGCGTCAGGCAGCATCTTTCCCCATCAGTGCTTGCTCATTGTGCCCATGTGCAAAGTAGCCATTTAGGCAGGGGTGGAGGCTCTGCATGGTTACAACAAGTGGGCTCACTCACCCCAAGGCTGACCTGGCTGTTGACTGTACTCAGTGCCCAAACCAAGAGAGGTAGAGGCCAACGCTAACCTGCTATGGTGTCATTCTATGGCAGGGCTACGCAGGACGTGCCCCATCATGGAGGGGACTGAGATTTATCTTCATAGGGATAGACACAAACTGTGGTCTCTGATTTACCCTCCTTCTACTCAATGCTTCTGTCAACACGCCATTTGAGAACTTAGAAAATGTGTTTTCTATTGCTATGGTACACTATGAAGTATGGTTTCCAATGAGGCCATTTTAAGGCAAAGGAAATGAGGCCATCAACTCACATTCATGGAGATCACTGATCTTCCCAGGTGCCCCATTACACAGAGACAGTTGGCCTTTCGGGATGTGGAACGGCCCATGTTGGCACCAGGGCACCAGGTAAGAGATCGTACCCTTCCATCCAACAGGAAATGCTGTATGTCTTAAACCGGTGGCCAGTCTATCACAGCATGTCCACTATAGCTGAAATGCAGGGGGTCATGAAACAAGGGGGGATAAGGGAGTGCCCCCTCCCTCTAGTACACCAACAGCCCACTTAAAGGATTTTTGCTTCTGCTCCCTGTGACTTTGGAGTTGGTGTGGGTGAGGAATCCCATCATAGTTCCAATCAATTGGAAGATGTGACTGCCCCCTGGCCATTTTGTGCTCCTCATGCTGCTAAAACAACAGGCAGCGAAGAGGGTGGCTGCGCTGATTGCCAGAGGGGACCTGACTACCAGAGGGAGGTTGGGCTGCTGGGTCAAGGAGGACTCTGGCAGCCAAGTGATATGTTCGTGCGTACATCTTCCTATTTCATTGGCAAGTGGCCCTGTTCAAAGGAAGACTGCAGAAATTCAATAAAGACAAGCCCATCAAACACTCTCTTCCCATCAGAATGAAGATTTGCATCACACAACAGTTGTTTAAACCAGGTGTTGGCAGGTGGTGAGGACTGTGGAACAGGTGGTAGAATAAGGCAGCTCTGATTACCACCAGCTCCACAGCCAGGACCCTCAGATTTGTTTTACAGGATTTTCTCCTCTCATTATGGTATTTGAGGAACTTGTCATCAAACACTCTGGGGGTCTGACTCATTGTCCTTAGCAAATCACGTTACAATGATTAGGTAACAGATGGGAATTGTGTGCCTTCAATATTGAGGACTCTGATTTTCACCTGGACAAAGGAAAAGGGTGGATACTGGGGAGGAAAAGGGTGGGCTGTGCTGAACACTTTCTGTTTCCTTCTCCAGATTCACTCTCTCCTCTTCTCCCCCCTGCCCTGCACCGTGGGTGGCAGAGCTATGAGAACTGCATCAATGGGCTCTCCTGGCTTCCTCCTGCGTTCAGTCAATGGGGAGCCCCAACAGGAGACCAGAGGGAGGACACTGAGTCAGGTTGGGGTATTAACTCCCTAGCTCCCCTCCTGTAGTGTCACTGTGGGCTGGATGGATTATTCAGCCTGAGATCAGAGCTCCTGTCAGGCAGGTCTCTCTAAACCTCTCCCATCCCTCCCTCCAGACTCTAGCAATGGTAATAACCTCTTCTCAGCCTTTCAGGCCTGGATGATAACAGACCCAAGGATATCAGCCTCAGGAAACTGTGCAAACCCACTTGTTTCTCTACTTCAAGCAAACCCTTATGTCAAGATATTCACGTGGGGTGAGCCCTCTGTTTGTGCTGGGTCCCTGAATGCTAAGTAGAAGCCCCATTGGGTGAAGTCCATCTTCACCTCCCAAGTCATGGTGATGTCCAAATAGCTTTGTTGGCCGCACCCTAAAGTCTCTGCTGCCACCCAAGCTGGAATGGAGACGTGTACCAGACCAGTGAAGGATGGACCTGAGATGGGGAATCTCCCACAGATTCCTCTCCTCCCCTGTGCCAGATTTCTGGGTGTCCTGCCCTCCCCTCCCCTCACATAGAGAAACCCCAGCACTGGGGGAAAGGACGATGTCTTTATTATCAGACACATGTGGCCACTGCTTGAATGTCAACTCTCCCACAGGGCGAGTCCAGCTGCTCCCAGGCCCTTCCATATGTGTCATCAGGCCACAAAGTGTGTGTGGATGATAATTCATGGAGAGGATGGGAAAATAATCCAGTGTTGGGTTATGAGGTCAGAGGGAGGGTTGGGTTTAGGGGGTTAGGAGGGGCAAAGAATCAAGGGGAAATGGGGTCAGCAGGGAGGGCACCCCACTCGAAAGGGCTAAGGATAGCCCCAGCACCACCACCAAAGCCGTGTAGGAGGTAGGGGCAGCTCCAGCTTGGAGAAAAGGGCCATCCTCATTCTCATACCCAGAGTTCTCCATCACGGAGAAGACCCCAATATTGCGGATATGGTTCAACAGATATCTGGAAGGTTGGGCCATGCAGCCCTGCAGGTTCAATGAGGAGGACAGCCCACCTAGAGGATGAAGATTAAATCAGAGAACTCAAAGTACAGCCCACTGAAATTCCTAAGACCCAGGAATCCCAGATGCGCCCTCTCCCTGGTCAGACCAGGAGATCAGCCTCTTCGTCCCTCCTCCCCTAGACCTGGACATCGGGGTCCTCAACCTCCCACCCCCAAACCCGTGAGTCAGGAACTCAGGCCACCTCCAACCTCAGGACCAGTGAATCCAGATCCTAATCCCGTCATCCTTGAGACCATCAGTACTCACCTCCCTTGAGATTTATGGAACCACGGTAACAACGAATGGTGCCCTTGGGGCAGGTAACAATATCAGAGTTTTGTGAGCAGGATCCAAACAACTCAACACAGGCAGGACATTGCAGATCTCCAGGGACAGGGGGAGCTGGGGAGCAGAGAGAAGGTTGGGGTGCACAGCTCTGCTCCTCCCTGCAGCCACCTTCTTTGTGACCCGGAGCCCCTTGTCTCTGGGCCCCCATCTCTGAGTGTCCCTGGTCCCACCCAGCATGCTGGGATCCCACACCTGGACGGGGGATGGCATCCAACAGGACACTGCTGCTGTCGGCCCTGTTGCACCCGCTGGAGGAGCAGAACCGGGCGTAGGAGGCGACGAGCATTCCGGGGGGCCCCGAGTGGACGGTGACAGTCGGGGATTCATGTGTCCTGATCTTGCTGCAGCCCTTGCTCCCCACTATGAGTGATCTGTGTCCTGAGGGGTGAGACAGTGAGAGCCGGGCTGAGGAAGGGAGGCCCCAAGGGAGGCAGGAGCTCAGCAGGCAGAGGGTGAGTGCAGGTTCCCTGAGCACAAACAACAGCACAGGTCACCTGGAATGTGGGGAAGACAGTGGGGGGGCCAGAGGCTGGGTCCTCCTCCAGCGCTGCCAGCTCTCAGTTCTTGTGCCAACGTCACCTTCGCAGCAGAGCCTCCCCTGAGTACCCATTATCACCGTGCAACCTTCCCCTCACTCTCTCTCTCTCCTATCCCTGTGGGATTTCGCTCCATAGCTCTTATCTCCACACCGTATCTTGCTCTCTGTTTTTGGCCATTTTTCTGTTTCCCCCGGCTCATAAAGCTGCACAAAGGCAGGTGCAGTGGGATCTAGGGTGCCTGGCACACAGCAGATGCTCCATAAACCTTGAATGAAGCCTATGGGTCCCCCTGTGCCAGCTCTACTCTCAGCCCTTTGCATGGACTATCGAGTCTATCCACACGACCACCCAGCAAGGTAGGTAGTATTATTGCTCCCAGTTTTCAGAAGGGGAAAACAAGGCACAGAAAGAAGAAGAGTTGGGTTTAGAGCTCCAGGTGTGAAGGGAACTGGGCAGGAAAGCAGGGACAGAATCCAGGGCGGGGAAGCCTGGGACCCAAAGCAGGGGCCATACCTCTTGCACAGCCCACGCACCTATGTCTACCAGCAGAAGCGTCTCCTGACACATCTCTCCAGCCTCACACGTCTGGGACCCAATCGCGGTCCATTCAACGGGTGTCTGAGCCGAGTTTCGCTGCAACTTCAACATCAGTCCCCGTTGACAGGTCAGGACAGCTTGGTTGGATGAAGCAGGGTCTGGGAAAGCCAGGGAAACAGCCGTGTCTGTCCCTCCAGGTCCCAGGCTTGGAGGTGATCACATTCCTGAGTCACACTCCAGGTGACCTGGCCACAGAGTCCTTCAAAATCAGATTTTGAAGGGACCTTGGAAGTCTGAGCCCTACCTCCTTTCTTTGTCTTGTTTTTGCTCAAACTCCTGCAGGGACCTCTTCCAATCTCCTGGAGAAAGGCAACTCCTCCCTTGGGAGTGAGGGAGATGGAGGGCTCCTCCTGAGCCTGACCCAATTTCCACTGTCCTCTCTCGGCCTCAAGGTCCTCATCCAGATAATGAGGAGCATAGTGTGACACCATGTATTTCTTTTCACTGAGGAGCCACATGTTCTAAACAAAAAGACGCAAAGGCCTGCCGTGCACTGAGCACTTACTACGAGCCTGGCTGTCCTGATTGCTCCCTGGATTAGCCCCCTGACACTAGCTGACGAGGATATGTGTTTTGATCATTTTATTTCCCCACAGCAACCCCCAAAGTAGGTAGTGCTATCATCATCACCCCATTTCAAGATGGGAAACAGAGGCAGAGGAGTTGTTCAGTAGCTTGCTCGAGGGCCCACCACCAGTCAGGGGACTCAGAACTCAGGCGTTGTGGCCCCTTGGGGTGAGCGATGGGGAAGACAGGAATCAATGACCGTGCTTGGCTACCTCGGATCCTGTGGCCCTCAGGAGTCTAGTGTGAAAACCCTGAGCCCAGATCTTCTCTCAAGGCCATCACAGTGAGTTGTCCCTTGAGGCAGAAACTCCCGGGCTGATGACGCAACATCCATAAACATAGGTAATCTTCAGGACAGCCCCACGAAGGAGGACCACTCATTTCATCACAGAAAACAAAATCGCGGCTTCTGCTGCCTTCCTCCCAGCCTTGCTCTGCTCTCCCCATCCCCATCTGCCCCACCTTGGTCAATGGTGGCTCCTTCCAGCAGTTGCTCAAGTCATTCCTGACCATCCCCTCCCTCTGACACCCTGTGTTGTGCCCATCAGGAAATCCTGTTGTCTTAAGCTGCAAGATACCCCCAGAACCTGACCAGGTCTCGCCACCTCTACTGCTTCCAAGACGACCCTGGCTCTCACCTGCTTCCTCCTGGGTGTCCATGGGGGTCCCCTCCCCCACTCCCACATATCCCTCACTCTATTCTTCACCCATCAACCAGAAGGATCACCATAAAGGTAAGTTAATTCCTGTCTCTCCTCTGCTCAGACCCTCCATAGGTGGTCTGAATCCCATCCCAGTGAGAATCGAATTCTAAGTCCTTAAATTGGCCCCAAAGGCTCTAGGTGATCTGGCCTCCCCCTCTCTCTGTCTCTCTGTCCTGCTCTGCTCTGCCTTGATCACATTGTTGGAGCCACACTGGTCTCTAGGCTCCTCCTTGAACACACAGCAGGCATATGGCCACCCCAGGGCCTTTACATATACTCCCTTGCTCCTGGCTCTCTGGAATTGTCTCCTCCTTCCTGAATTGCTTGAAAAAGGCTCAAAGAGGTGTTGACCCTCAATAGCTGGTTCAGTGGCAGAGCCCAGACAGGGAGCCAACATCTCTCTGATTCAGACATTAAGCTCTTTATCTGCTGTGCTCTCCTGACTGGGCCGCCCCACCCTTTTCCCTGGGACCACCGCCCAGTTGCTTAGGGGAGGTCAAGGCCCTTCACGTTCCAACCCTTTTGTTCTTCCTCAGCTTGGGGTCCTGCTGTGGCCCACCTTGGGCAGCCTGTGCTCTTGGCCCAGCCCTCTGCCACCCCCATGCCTTCTCAGGGGCTGCTCTGGCTCCAGGAATGCCCTTCTGTCCTCCATATATTCCCTGACCTCTTGTCCTACTCAGCTTCTGATGCCTGGTCCTGCCGATGGTCAGGAAATACTTGCTAAACTGCTGAACTGAACAGAACCAGGGAAGCCAAACACATCCTCCAAGAGATCTGGCTCCAATGTCGAAAGCTAACCAAACATGGATTGTGATAGGAACATTCATTCGTGGCATAAAAGCTGTGTTTCATGTGACATGTGTGTGGTGTGTGTAGTGTACGTGTAAGGTATGTGTGTGGGGGTGTAGTATGTGTGTGGTGTGTAGGGGTTGTCTGCAGTGTGTTATATGTGTATGGCATGTTTGTATGGTGAGTGTAGTGTGTGTGTATGGTACATGATGTTTGGGGTGTGTCTGTGTGTGTGTAGTGACACTGTGCGTGTGATGTATGTGGTATGTGTTTGTTGTGAGGGAGTGGCATGATGTGTGTTCTGTGTGTCTGTGTTTTGTTTGTATGTAGCGTGTGAGGTGGGTGGTCTGTATAGTGTGTAAGGTTTATGGTGTGTGGTACATGTGAGGTGTAAGGAGATGTGTGTGTGGTATGGGATGTGTGGTGTGTATGTGGCATGGTGTGTGTGTGTTGTATGTGTGTGTGTAGCGTGCATTCTGTCTGAACTGTTTCTGAAACACCTTCTGGATTACGAATGTCAGCTGGTCCCAGCGATGAGGGCCGGAAAACTAAACCAGCATTAATCAGAAGGAGAGACTCAGACTCTGCCCCTCCCTGCTCAACCCCCTTCTGTGGCTCCCCTGCCCTCAGGAGAAAAGCCAACTCCTCAGCCTGGCCTTGTGGGGACATGACCAGGCCCCTACCCACCTTTCTGGTCCCCCACCAATATCCATTCCCAAGATACGCCAGGTCGTTTCCTGGCTCCCTGGCCTTGCCTGAGCTCTTCCTTCTGCTTGGAATGGCTCTCCCTTCATCGCCCACACCCACCTCGTCTACCTGGAAAACTTGTAATCACCCGAGGCCCGGCTGTACCCTGCCCTCTTGATGAGCCATCTCAGGCAGAGCCAAGGACGACTTCCTGAAAACTGCAGCCTCAGCCCACCTCCAGGCCTTTGCACATGCTCTTCCCTCTGCCTGCTCCTGTCCTTTTCCTCTTCTTCAAATAAGTTAGAGCTCATCTTTAAAACACAGCTCACAGATCACCTCCTCTGAGCAGGCCTCCTTGATACCCACCCCCAGGAGATAAGTATTTTCCCTCCTCTGAGCTTCCCAGACCCCCTCCCACACAGCCCTGTGACCATCTGCTCCGTGACGTCTCCCTTCCTAGTCCTGAGCAGGGATGGGGTCTGAGTCCTCTGGGGTCTCCATGGGAGACCTTGAATCCTGCATGAACTCACTTGCAAATAAATCCCGGGCACCCATCCTGAGCTAGCTCTTGTGCTGTCCACGTCTGGAACTCTCCGGTCAGTGACGTCCAGGCCATGTCCTCAGGCCCCCAGTCCAGCCAGAGGCATCGAAGCACAAAGAGGAAAGTTTGCTGAACTCACTCAGCTCTTTTCTTAAAGTTGTAGGGTCAGGGTGCCATGGGCAGACAAGGAAACTGAGGCTCAGACTGGGACGGCACTTCTTCCCTCTCTGAAGTCCCTTGACCCCTCCCTGCATGCAGCGGCCATTCCCATGGAGACACTCCAGGCCACTTTCAGTCTACCCCATGTGTGGTTTCCGTGAGGAAGTGGGGACCCCCCCAGTGTCCCCATTTGGCTCTTGCTTGCCCTGTCACACTGGGAGCACCCTCAGTGTTCTCTGGTCTTCTTCCCTAGGCAGCAGGGCTGCTGGGGTGCTCCAGGACCATGGGTGGGGTGGGTGTGAGTGGGGTGAGGTGATCGAGGAGAAGTGGGAGACCCAGGGTTACCCTAGGCCAGGGGTGTGGAGAATGGAATTGGAAGCAGTGAGTCACTCCCAGCATGAAAACCAGTGGGCGCTCCTGTCCTCACTTCCGCACTTGATGGAGAAAGTGGAATGCACAGCAGCCACCCTCTCCACCCCTCTGACCTTCCTCTCTGCTCTGGGGTTCCCCTCCCGCCTGGACAGGCCACCCTGACTTAATCGGCCCAAACCTGATCATCAATTAAAACATCCAGCGGTGGGTTCCAGCCCTGAATATCTGTCGCCTGGACCATGTGCCCTCTCTCTCCCCTGCAACTGGACACCTCTTAGTGGCACCCCCATCGAAGTGCCTACCAGGAGAATCCCTCCCTTTGCACACCCTGAGTGAGGAGCAAACTCCTAAATTACTTGCGGGTGCTGGCTTTCGTGGGATGTGTTCGGGTGTCCCACTTTCACAAGTGTCACCGTGCCCCAAGGCTGCAGTGCAGGGCACGGCCTCGTCTCCCGCACAAGGGACTCACCTTCAGGGTTGCAGGACTCACGCACAGTCAGGGCCCCAATTTTTTGAGTGTTATTAAGCAGGTTGCAGCCTGCTTGAGACGTGCACCCCTGCACTCTCAGATTGGTGGCGATGCCCCCTGTCGAAAGGAGGAGAGAGGGAGAGAGGGAGATGCTCCCAGTGGGACCACGCAACCTTCAGGGGAGGCGCAGCTCCACGTAGCCAGGCCCACCCTCCTCCAGGTCCCAGCCCTCAGCTACCCTCCCTCCCAGAGACCCAGATCCCGGCCCTCAGACCTCCCCTTCAGTGCCCCCAGGGACCCCGATGTCCCGCCTCACCTCCGCTGATCAGGAGGATCCCGTTGTAGCAATGTGTGTCCCCAGCAGGGCAGGTCAGCTCTGTTGCAGATGCACAGCCTTCTGTGGACAAGCAGACTGGGCACCGCATGGACCCCGGGACTGGGAGGTGAGAGACGGAGAGAGAGGAAGAGAGAGTTCTGCCTTCAGATCAGGGGTTTTGTCTCCACCCTGCTTTTGCTTGCCCCAGAAATCAATCTCCCCAGTCTCCCCCAAAACGTGCCCTCCTCGGGCTCCTGTCATGCAGGCCTGGGGTGCAGGGAATTAGGGACTGTCCCTCTGTGCTAACCTCACCCCCTCAGCCCTGTCGCTCCCCTCCTCCCCACACTCACTTTTCCCTCCTCCTCCTCCCCCTCCTCCCTCAGGCACCTGTTGGGGGCAATGAGTCCCAGAGAGGGAGGGTGTTGGGGACATTGTTGCATAAGTCCTCGTTGCGGCACACGTGGGTGTAGGAGACGATGGAGAGGCCGGGGCCTGCCCTGTGCTGGGTGACACGGGCCTCGTGATCTGCCTCCGGGGTGCAGCCCTTGCTGACCACCAGGTTCACATGGGGTCCTGGACCAAGAGAGGGAGGGAGGCCGTGGTGGGGTCAGGACTCCGGGTCTTAGAGAGACGGTCTATATCGTGGCCTGGGGTGGGAGACTGGACAGATGGTGACTGGGCACCCAAGACTTTGCCCCTGCTGGGGAGGGGACAGCTCCTGGTAGGAGGGGAGGGGTCCTCTGAGTTCCCATAGGGAATGCAGGGAGGGCTGGGTGCGGGGAGGGATGTCTCTACACAGGAGAGGGTGGGAGCCAGGCTTGGGGCCTACGGGGCTTTTCTCACCATTCTCAGTGAGCAGCAGTGTGTCTTGGCAACCCCAGCCATCCTCACAGACTTGCTGATTCGTCACCGTCCAGTGGAGGGGCATACCCGATACATTCATCACAGCCTCACCTGTCCCTGACTGACAGGTCAGGGCCTGCACTCCTGAAATGGGAAGAGCAAATCCATCTCAGCCCATCCTCCAGGGAAGTCCACCCCAGGTTGGCGTCCTCACTCACGGGGCAGCATGAGGGCGATGCCCAGGAGGGCCAGCAGCAGGGCAGGGTTCATGATCAGGGCAGCTGGACTCTCTTGCTCCTGCTCTTTCTATCAGGAAACCGACACTTTTTATATCTCACCCCATCCCAGGCAGTTCAGGAAAGGGGTGGGGAGGGGAGGGCCTTGCTAAAGGAGGCCTGGGCACACCCTCTGAATCTCAATGGCTTAAAGGCTGAGAAATCTGGGTCCTCCCTCCTCCCTCAGATCAGGGACTGAGAAATCTGGGTTGTCCCTCCTCCCTCAGATCAGGGGTCTAGGCCCCCAGCCCCCTCCTCCCTCACACCCAGGATACAGGCCCCCAACCCCCTCAACAGTTAGAATCTGAGGCATCCTGGCCCCCAGGACCACTGATCCAGCCCTCCTGAGCCCAGCTATCTGTGTCCCCACCCCCACCGTGTTTCAGGGTAGTTTGTGTTGCGGTTTCTTCATCTTCATGGCAACCTGGCCAACTTCAGGTCCCAGGTGGGGAAATGGCCCAACTGCCTGTGAGGACATTGTGTGGTGGGTATTGGCAGGTCCCCACATTTTCTCTATCCTAACCTCTGCCCTCATGGATTCCTACTTCTCTTTTCTTTCTCTTTCCTTCCTACATTGCTTTCCTTTCTATTCCCTTTTTCATAAGCTTTCCTCATGCTTTTCTTCTTCTCCTGTCCTCTCTCCTCCAGCACAACACGGCCCATAGAGTTTCCACTTCCCACCACCCGGGAGGGAGCTGAAGTATGACAGGGGGCGGGGCTGGTGGAGGAGACTGAATATCTATGAAGGAATTAGGTATTCTTTGACAAAGCCAAGTTTCTTTGCCAGAAACAGATGGGAGCAGTGGTGTTCTGGAAAACCAGTGTGGGGACCTGGAATTGGCCACCCCAAGACATGTCCTTTTGGCATCAGGATTATTTGAGGCTGATTCATTTTGATAAACTGGGACAGGCAAGGAGGCTCTGAGGAATGGAACTTGCCCTTTGTTAGGACACGTTTACATTTGTGGGGTAAATCTCTATCTGTAAAGGGTGCCTCCCTCTCTGTACCAGGAAGAAGAAAGGAGATGACCTTCTCTCTAAAAACTCTTAAGCAATACCAAAGGCAAGGACTTAAATCTGCATTTTATTGTGCTAGTCTGGTAACCTCCTGTAACTGACTTCCCTCCCCCTCCCAACGTTGGCATTTCTTAAGGATTAAGCATCTTTCCTTAGGCTAGGAACTGATTGCTGTGCTCACCTGTGACCGCCCAGCTCCAGACAATCGATTTGCCTCTGGCTACGCCCTCTGAGACAGCAGACCACTACCTGCTGTGTCCATCAAGCGCTGTGCCGACGGGGCAATCTTGTGACTATTGTGGGAGGGACATTTCAATCACATGTGAAACACCCTGTTTGGGGGTATATAACCACTCTGTGCACCCCACTTCTTCGGTGCCCTTTCTTCCTTCGGGAAGAAAGGCCCCGGGCCATGGTTCCTCAAAAGCTTTGTTTAATTTTCTCTTGCTATTCTGTCTCATGCGAATTTAATTCATTCTCCAGCCAGACGAACCCCCATTTGGGAGGAGGAAATGTCTTCCTCCCCTACACCAGCTTTTCAGAAAAACAGCCTCAACATACGCCGCCTTATACTGTTGGCCCATTTATGTGGTGTAATTGCTTCTAACACTTCTTTTAATTGTTAAGTTAAAATCTTAACACTGATTTTAAGCTACCAAGGGTTTGACAACCAGCTCCCAATATTCCTAAATATTTAACAATTGGCTTTTGCGAGCCTGTGCCAAACAGCTCTAGCACACTGGGTAGGAGAGAGACAGGAAAGAATGAGGAGTATCTGTCAGTGACTGCAGAGCCTCAATGTGGGCATCTGATAAGGAGAGAGGAAAGGGAGAAAGGAGAGGATGAGAAAAATATAGAGAAGAAAGAGCAATGACTATGTGCTTCCCAGTTGCATATTTAGTTTTGACACTTTGACGTGTTCTGTTTTATTTGTGTTTGCAAGTTTAAACTTTGCCACCTAGGCGGAAACATGTTTCTCTCATCTCCCACTGCATCTACACCACTACTGTGGTAGACCATATGTACTTAATAAATATTTACTGAACGAATGAATGGAGAGGGAAATATGGCAACAGAAGCATCACTACGTTTGTATAGGTTGTGCACTGTACAAACACCGTCCTTTCCCAACAGGGCACATTGATGCCGTCCGGAGTGGTGCCCTTTGGAGTTGTGTGTGCCCTCAAACAGTGTCCCTGGAGGAAGTAGGGAAAGAAGGGTGGGCAAAGAGGTACATAGAGTCATAGGTAGTCAGTTAAATGTCTTGTGTTAGTCTTACTTTTCCAAGGCTGGACTTCATGCCAGGCACAGTTCCAGTTACTGGGGATATAGGAAGAGCAAAAAGAATGAGGCTATTCCTTGTGTTGAGCTTGCAGCTTAGTGAGGGAGACAGACCCTAACAAATACATGAACACACTAAAATATTAGATGGTTCTGGCTTCTCTGCAGAGAGGGGAAACTAGGTAATGCGAAAAGAAGTGACTGAGCTGGGCTCAGGGAGGGCCTCCCTGAGGAGGTGACATTTGAGGCAAGAGCAGAATGAGAAGAAAGAGCCATCCATGGAAAGACACGCAGAAAGAGCATTCCAGGCAGAGGGAAGAGCAGGTGCAAAGGCCCTGAGGTGGGACCGTGCGTGGCTTACGTGAGGATTAGGGAGATAGCAGGTGGCTGGGTGGTGGTGGGGGAGATGGAGAGTGATAGGAGATGAGATTGGAAAGGCTGGCAGGGCCAGCAATGCAACACTAAGTCAGGATATTAAGGCAACCTTCCTGGGGGTCCTGCATCTTGCAAGAGGGAAATGCAGAGGCTAGGGGTGGGACTGTTTAGCAACAAGTCTGATAGTCCCCGGTGTGACACACTGTCTGCTACCGGGCTGATTCTGCTGCTTCCTGATTGTGTAGCCTTGGGTCACTGATGTCCCCTCTCCAAGCTTCATCGTCCTCTTCTGTAAAGTAGGTGTGATGGATATGTGCACCCTGTGGTCGTGGTAAGGATTGAGGGATATAACCCAAAGTCGATTCTCAACAAACAATAAAAATCATGAACATGATGAGCCCCGACTCTGTTCCAAGCCCTAGTCTAAGCACTTTGTATGTTTCAACTCACTAAATCATGACCACAACTATGAGGGAGGTCCTATTTATAGTCCTATATTTTCGGTAAAGAAACTGAGCCCCAGAGGAGTTAAGTAACTTGCCCAAGGTCACACAATGTGGCAGAGATGACTGCCCACCAAAGATCCATGCACCCTTCAGGGTGTAGAGATGTTACAAGGGGAGACTGCCCAGCCAGCGACTACATTTCCCAGCAACCCTTGCCTCTAGGTGAAGCACGTGACTAGCTCCCACCGATGGAAAGTGGGTGGAAACTGCCCAACTAGGGACTACATTTCCCAGCACCCCCTTGCCTCTTTTGGACCATATGACTAACTCCTACCAATGAAATGCAGGCAGAAATGATTGGTGTCACTTCTGAGCCTGAGTGGTTGAGAAGCAGGAGTGCCTTCTCCTTCCTCCATCTATGTTGAGTCCAAGGTGACCTTGGAGCCACATGCAAGACTCCGAGTCCTCGTAGACCTGATGTGCTAGGGGGTAGTCACACAATAAAGCAAACAACAACAACAATGATATGTTAGAATGAAATAAGGCATGCTTGGAGTGGCCTTTTTTCTTCCTTTTTCTTTAAAAGATGGTGTTCAGGGAAATCCTCTCTGAAAAGGCAACATTTAAGCAAAGCCATCAAGGAAGTGAAGGAACTAGCTCTGGGTCTCTGTGGGCATCTGAGCAGCAAGGAGGAGGCCCAGCTGGAGCAGAGAGAGGGAGAGATGAGAGCAGATGAAGTCAGAGAGAGAGGGGCTGGATGGTGAGGGCCTCCCGTCCTTGTGGCCAGGACTGTGGCTTTATTCTGAGTGAGCTGGGAAGCCACTGAGGGTTCAGAGCAGAGGAGGGACGTGAGTGATGCGTGTTCTGTCAGGATGCCTGTGGTTGCTGGGTTGAGCGCAGGGAGCCCGGTGAGGAGGTGACTGCAGTAATCCAAGTGAGAGGTGGCAGTGGCCCGACCATGTGGGAAGGAATCAGTCTCTGGATCTGTTCTGAAAGTGGAGTCCAGAGGATTTGCTGAAGGGTTGGTTGTGGGGTGTGAGAACAAGAGAGGAGCTGGGAAAACTCCAAGGTGGCCCCTCCCGAGATGGGCAAAGAGTCTGGGGCAGCAAACTGAGATCAGAAATTTGGCTTGGGATCAAGAATCTGAGGGCATCTTGAAATGCCTTTTGGATATTAGCTGTCAAGTCATAGTTGGATGTCAGCAGTCAAGTCCGTTTTGTCTCTCTGGTTCACTGCTGTCCCTCAGGCCCAGGACAGTGCCTGGTACCCATTACACTTTTTTGGGAATCAACAAATAAACTAGGCATGGACAATCAGAGTGTTTCCTGGAACCCCATACACAATATCTCTTACTGACTAAGAAAATACAGAGACACACAAAATTACCAAGACTCTGGGGCCCTGATAAACTTTTTTTTTTTGGTAAACCACATCAGAATCTCCATCGAGTATTCATGCTATGTGTGCTTGTGGAAGTAAATTGAGGTAAACCTAAAATTGCCTGGGTGATATGTATAGATCTACAGGCTGCTCCCTCTGCTGCTCCTGGTATGAGAATCACTGCCTAAGGCCTATCTCTCTGAGAACAGAGAGAAGGAAACGGGGTGAAGGGTACCTGTCAAGGTGTGAGAGGTCTTAGGAGAGAGGAGAGTGGAAAGAAAGTCTTCTGAAACTCCCTGAGCACCTGCTATGTGCAGATCACGCACATTATCATAATCACTTCTAGCATCACACCTGCCTGGTCATTTTTCACATGAGATGAAAGGGTGTTTTCTTCCAACAACCATTCTGCAACTGAGTGTCCGACAATTCAATTCAGTTCTGACACTAGCTACCTGGAGTCGGTGCAGACCTCCAGGTTGAAGGCTCAGACCTGCAAGACTGCTCCATTTCAAATGCCAGTTACAAATGGGGCGCCCAGGCCACCCACATGTCCGCCTACCTGACTACAAATTAGGGGGTTCCCACAGTCCCCCTCAGGTTTTATCATTCTCTCGAATGACTCACAGATCTCAGGAAAGGGTTTTACTTACTATGACTGGTTTATTGTGAGGACACAACTCAGGAAGAGCCAAATGGAAGAGAGGCATGGGGCACAGTACAGGAGAAGGGGCATGGAGCTTCCATGGCGCCCCCTCCTCCCAGTCATGCCACTCTCCCAGCATCTTGATTTGTTTCCCAACATGGAAGCTCTGTGAACCCTGTCAGATAGGGGTTTCTCTAGAAGTCTCGTTACCTAGGCTTGATTGGCTAAATCACTGGCCATTGGTGATTAATTCAATCTCTAGCCACTCTCCCTTCCCCAGAGGCTGAGAGGTGGGGCTGAAAGTTCCAAGGATCCAATCAAGACTTGGTCTTTTTGGTTGCCAGCCCCCATGGTAAGCCCATCAACACTTACCTCATTAGAACAAAAGACACTCCTATCACCCTTATCAGTCAGAAAATTCTAACGGTTTTAGGAGCTCTGAGCCAGGAAGAAGGACAAAGACCAAAGATCTTTCTGTGAAATCACATGAGGAAACTGAGCCTTCGTGAGGTGGGGTCGCTTGCCCAGAGTCACACAACCTGCAAATGGGAGAGCTGGGATTTGGACCCAGTCATGCAATATGTTGTCAGTTGGCACTTGGCATCTATATTCCCCCCCATATCAGAAGAACCGAAAGGCCAATACTACCTTTTTTTTCACCTCCCAACAAATGAGTTTCCACATCAAATTTAAATTCTGAGACACACTTGTGTGAGATTCAGAAGGTGGGAGGGAGACGGAAGCAACTATTT